CCCGGCGGCAGCCGCGTCAGCCAGTCGACCAGCCCCTCCCCGACATCCTCGACGCGGCCGAACCTCCACCTCGGCGCCTCGTCCTTGTCGATCAGCCGCGCCCGCACGCCCTCCCAATAGTCCGCCTCCCCTTCCACAAAGTGCCCCACCAGCGCCCAGTCCGCCTCGAGGCAGTCCGCGAGGCCCATCCTGGTGCGGCGGGCGCGGCGCATGTACTCCCATGTAACCGCCAAAGATATGGGCGACGCCCTGTTCAGGCGCGCGGGGTGGGGCGCCGCGACGGGGTTGGTGGTTTTGGCGGTTGAGGGCGGTTGAGGTGGTTGGAGTAAGCTGTGAGGAGTTTTGATGGCACCAAGCAGATGCATAGGGGAGGTGGGTGGGGAGGCCTGGCACAGCTTCCACATGCAGTGGTCGAGAGGGGCGTTGTCAGTGAGCACGCAGGCAGGCTTGCTGCTGCATTGCTTTGGGTGTGGTTTTGGGACTGCATATCACGTGGTTGGCATTGATTTGAATGCACTTCAGCGGCCCCGCTGCTTGTGCGCCTGGCTTGCCGCGCGACCGGCCCCCCCGAGCGTCTCTCTCTCGCGCACCGCTCCAGCTGCTGCTGCGTCTCGCGCCGCCACGCCTCGTCGTCTCCCTCCAGCTGCGCCCCCTGCACGGCCTCCGACACTCGTTCGACGCCGCCCCCCACGCTGCCGTTGCCGCACGCGAACAGCGAATCCACCAGCGGCCGCCGCGCCGCGGCGCGCGACGGCGGCGGCGAGGGGCCCGCGGCCGCCTCGGCGGCGGCGAGCGCGGCGCAGACGGCGGAGGGGTCGGCGGCGCGGGGACCGAGCGCGCGGAGGCGCGAGATGAGATCCGGAAGTTGGGCGGACGGGAGGTAGTGGGTCGCGAGGCCAAACTCCTTGAGCTCGTGGCCTGGTGAAGATTGCGGTGCGCAGTCGAGAGTGCAGAGACATTCAAAGAGCGGGCAGCGGGAAGGAACTGCAAAAGGGGTATCACAACGCGCCACAAATGGGCAGGAAACCAGGGCGGCGCTGGGGCCAAGAGAGAGGGACGTCCCCGACGGCCAGAGGGAGGGGGAGATGCTGCAAGGTGGCGCGCTATGTGTTGTGTATTTGCATCGTCTGCCGGCCGGCCCACCTCTGAGCCGCGCCCCCGTGAGCGCCAGCCAGGGGCCGGCCTCCCCAGGAAGGGCCGCCAGCAGCTGCATCATGCCCACGTCGGGAAACAGCCCAATGGCGGTTTCAGGCATTGCGAAGAGCGTCCTGTGGGGTGGTCAGGGCGGCACGCGAGGCGGCAGAAGGTGGGGCGGGATGAGGGCGTGAGCTGTGTGCGCGCCTGTTCATCCTCAAAAGGATGCTACGGGGCGGTTCCTCGCGTTGCTGGGACGGCTCAGTCCAGGAGACAGCCCCCATGTTCATGCTGCAAAGCGCTCCCGCGACCAATGTTGGTTCAGAGCTGTGGAACTCGCGGGCTCCAACGGCAGTGACCCCATTGGCTATACCCTATACGCATGCAGCAGGATGAACAAAGCGGCGCCCCCGCCCCCTGCGGCCCCCCAACCCGGACCGCCCCTACAGCGCACCTCTCCGTTGCGACGCGGAACGCGCCGTGCATCGACGCCCCGCAGCCGCCGCCCATGACGATCCCGTCGATGAGCGCGACATGGGGCGGCGCCAGGCGCCCGATGGCAGCGTTCATGGTGTATTCCTCCCGGAAGAACTCAAGGGCGGAGGCGGTGTCGCCGGAGCGCGCGGCGAGCACGTTGGATTTGACGTCGCCGCCGGCGCAAAAGGCCTGGGGGCGGCGGCGCAGGGGGTGATGCTTTGGTGTGCGCGTGCGCGTGTATGTGTGTGTGTGTGTGTGTGTGTGTGTGTGTGTGTGTGTGTGTGCGTGCGTGCGTGCGTGCATGCGTGCTGCGTGCGTGCGTGCGTGTGAGAGTGTGGGTGTGTGAGTGTGTGTGTGTGAGTGTGTGTGCGTGTGTGAGTGCGTGTGAGTGTGTGTGTGTGTGCTTGGGACGGTGGGGGATGTAGCAAGACAGCAAGTTTTGGGCTGGCCCCAGCTGGCGGTGGCGCTGCGTGCTGTGGGCACCGCTCTGGGACGGACGCGGCCGTTTTGTGAATGGGCCCCTCCCCGCGGAGGTCGTTACTCGGCTGTGCGTTCGTCCTGGTTTGGATTGAAATTGCACCTGTCAGTCCGGAAATGATCTACTCATGCAATGGCCAGGCGGGCGCCAGGCACGCGCGCACGTGCCGCGCACCTTCCCTCCTGCGCCTCGCACGACGATGCAGTTGACACCGCTGCCGGGGCGCCCCCACTCCGCGTACACACGCAGCAGGCGGCGTATCATGTTGATGTTCAGGGCGTTCAACGCCGCAGGCCTGCGGCGCCGCGCGACGCGGCGGGGTGAGAAGGATGAGGAGAAGCGAGGCCGCCAGCCACACTTGGCAGGGGCGCTGGCGCAGCTGGCAGTGGATTGGCGGCATCTGGCCGATGGGCAGCCACGCACACGCCACCTGTTGAGGGTGATTTCGCCGATGCCGTCTGATACCGTGGCCAACACCTGCGTCGTGGCGCAAGGGTGAGGGCGAGGGGTCGAGCCTGCAGCGCACGGCGGTTGCGCCAGCGAGGCCGGCTGGGCGGTCGTCGTCGCGGTGGCGGCGCTCACCTCTTCGCTGCTCGGCGCAGCGGCCGCCATGGTGCTGGCAGCGCGCAGGAGAGCGTGCGAGAGGTTTGTGCGATGAAGTGCGCGCGCAAGGCTTCCCGTGGCTATTGACATGCGTCCTCGGGGTGAGTCAGCGGCATTGATCTCAGCGTGCTTGCAAACATTACCCAGGTACCCAGGTTCTTCCTTGACAGCAAGTTGCTTTAATAGGTACGTGGCATGCCGTACGTGTCATCATGCCTGACAATGGGTCACCTGCCCAGTGCATCAACACAAAAATCTTATCTCAGTGCTATATGCGGCTGCCCTGCACAGGTTGCCCGTGGCTACCGCCATGCATTGTCGGACAGTCATCATCCCATGCACGCCAGGCGGTTTTGAGGATTCCGTTGATGGCGGGTCCCACCTGGACTTTCTGACAAGGCAGCGGCGACCTCGAACCAAGCGGCTGGTGCAGTGCACGCTAGGAGCCCCTCACGCTCACGGATCTGCAGCAGCTGCTTGAAGCGATGGGGCAACAGGATGATAGCACACGCGTGTAGGAGCGGCAGCAGCATGAACAGGCAAAGCGTTTGAGGCAGGTACTGCTTTCCCTGCTCGGCACTGGCATGGGCAAGAGCATTGCAAAGATGACGCATGAGCTGCTTGCAGGTCCTATGAACATTGAACGTGGCCACTGCGGGGGGGTGCTTGGCTAACTCTGCAGCCTGGTGCAGCCGCCGCAGTCGGTGGTGGCAGCAACGGCACAATTGTGACGGCGGGGCGACGTTGTTGGTTGTTGTCGGGGATGTCCCGTTTCTGCGGCGGCATATGTTGACCGCATGCTGGCTGATGCTGCCATAGTGGGCATGTACATAGGGATGAATTCAAAGCCTTGATGGCAATAATAATTACACCGTTTGCATGTTTGAACCCACGCCAGGTGCTTGTGTGGATAGATATCATCACTGTCAAGGACGGATGCACGCATGGAAAGCATGAGTCGCCGTTGAGCAGAAGGTGGTCAACCCATTGCAGCATTTCAGAATGGTTGGGGACTTCAGAATATCAATGCTGGAGACGGCGGCACTTTTATTCGGCTCCCAAACTTTGCTCTCCACCCACCCACCCACCCACATCCTTGCACAGCATAAGAGCAGGATGACTGCCCTTGTGCTTGTGTGCAGGATTTAATCATAGCACTGAGTGCAGCCTTGAGTGGAGCCTTGAGTGGAGCCTTGAGTGCAGGCTTGAGTGCAGGCTTGAGTGCAGCCTTGAGTGCAGCGACACACCAGACCCACAGTTGCAAATTGAGGCAGAAAGTGTTGTTGTTTTATGTTCACGGTGCATGCAGCACGTGCGTTTGCAGAGTCAAGCAGCCATGCAAGCAACCAGAGTGCTTTTTAAATCAGTACCGTAGTGCCTTTGGACATTTCTCAGCAGCACCTGCAAGAATGTCAAACCTTGAGAGTGTATCGCACAGCAAAAGACGGTATGAACAACTCCTCATACACCTCGGATATTGATGGGTTCTTGCACGTGCTGTCGAGCAGCACTACAGCAAAGTAAGTGCCTGGGGTGGAGGGCAGCTTGAGCCCCGTGATGACGGCCGTCGCCTTGGCGTTCACTGCCACCTGGGCAGTCAGCTCCGCGGTCGACACCCAGCCCGCCCCGCTGCTCGTCGTGCAATTGAAGTCAATTTCAGGCAGCTCGTCCGAGTTCGCAAACGCCGCCACGACGCCGAGCGCGCCGCGCGCGTTGCCAACGTTCTTGAAGGTGATCCTGAGCTCGGCGGTGCCGCCGGACCTGAGGCCGCCGCGCGCGATCAGCTTCGCTGTGCCAGTTTCAATGAAGTCCGGCAGCGGCGCAGGGAGGGCCTTGACGAACAAGGACCCGAGGTTGTCGCTTTCGCGGTGTTCCACAGTGGCGCAGTCTGTCGAGAATCCGCGACAGCAAGCGGGAGTAGTGGTACAGCGAGCTTGTTGCGCCGCACAGGCAGGGGTCGCCCGATGACCCGGCTTGACCCATCATCAGCCCAGACACTGCCTTTGTCTGCTCTGAGCCCAGAGACTGCACACAATCCTCCTACCGGCATCAACCAGGACTTGGAGCTCGTAGAAGCCGGGCGTGGTGGGCGTCTTGAGGCCAGGCACCTTGAACACCTTCACCTTGCCTGGCTGAATGGTGTCGGTAAACTTCAGTGTGACGTCCGGAGAGGGAGTGGTGCAGTTCAAGACCCGGGTGTCGTTATCAGGGACAGACAAGAGCTGCGCACGCGGCCAGGGGCGAGGGGCGAGGGGCGAGGGCGAGGGCGAGGGCGAGGGCGAGGGCGAGGGCGAGGGCGAGGCGTGCGTGAGCCACGGGTCAGAGGGGGTCCCGGCGTTTTGTCCGAGGTCGCGGCAGCAGATCGCTTGTCACTCAGGGATGGCCGAGTCGCATTCCAAGGCACCTGCTGCTATTACCATCACGCTTTGGCGGGGCAGGCGATCTCATCATCATCGTAGATCAGCACGACCACAGCAGCTCCCCGCGTGCGTTTGCGCAAGCCGCGCACCTTGATTGTGCCAATAGGTGCCGCCTTGCTGCCCGTGTTTTTGACCGCGACCTCGACATCAAAGGTGCCACCAATGAGGGCCGCGAAACTCTCTTGGACGGGGTTTTTCTTGCTCCAGCGCACAGAATTTCTAGAATCTAGTGACAAATTTGGGATGGGCTGTAGGGAACGGTGGCGTGCGTCGGCCGCCGGGCCAGCAAAAGGGGGGTGTTGGGGGGGATGGGGTGTGAGTAGCATTCGTTGGGGGCGTGAGCTGTATGTGTGTGTGAAGGGGGCAAGGGGGGGGGGAGCCCGGGGAACATCTCAAAAAGCAGCAGCACAAAATGCAACGTGATTGACCTATTGCGTGCAACCTCATGCCCTCCCAGCGCTTCCCCAGCTCCATCCTGTCTACACAAACACACATTGGCGGTCACTGTGTAGTTGAAGGCAAACTGGTTGCCCTCGCTGGTCTCATTGACCTGGAAAGTGGCAGGGGCGGCGAGCAGGGGTGTTTCACTCTGCAGCAGAGGTTGTGTTGCTGTGTTGGGGCGCGACACGCGCATCAGGTTGTTGGGCGACCCAGGCGTCTTGATGCGCGCCACGTGGCTCGCGAGGCCGGCGCTGCACTATCTAGGCTGGGGCCCAATCAGGCGGCACGCCCACGCTGGGCAGCTGCTGTGGCAGCTTCCCGCCGGCTGACAATGCTGTGCGATGCAAACCAGAGGCACGAGCCGGAAACCGCTGCTGCGGCTTCCACTGGCGCGGTTGGCGTGCCCGGGCAGCGGGCTGCTGCGTGAGGTGTGTGGTGCCTGCTTGCGCGCTCTGCAGGGACTCTGCGCGGCCCCCATGGGACGTCCACAACACTGGGTGCGGCAAGATGGCCGCAGGTCGCATCGGCGCCCCCCCCCCCCCCCC